CTTCCGGGGTTAGGCATGTACCAGTTGGTGGCCCTCCACTGCCACAGCCCAGCACAGGAAGCCGAGTGCCTGGCCGGGGTGCAGGCCGTGCCACCAGGCCGAGAAGGCGAAGGTGAGTGCCCGCCGCCAGCGTGCACTGCGCTGGAACACCAGCCGCCTCAGCCAGCGCGCCGTGCTGCGGTTCCAGGCCCTGGTGAACACTGAGATGCGGTGGGCGGTCTCCAGCGTCCAGATGTCCGCGTCTGGGCCCTGCTCCTCACACACAGGCTCAAAGCCAGCTGCCTGGAGCAGGGCTGCGTCCAGCGTCCAGTGTGAGTAGTAGGTCAGCTTGAAGAACCCGGCTGTGGCCCACACGACCAGGACACACTCCAGCTGCCGGCAGCCAGCCAGCCCTGGGCTGGCTCCCAGTAGCACCCTCACAGCCACCTTCAGGCCCTCCAAACTGAGCAGCTGCAGGCCAGGCCAGGCCAGAGCCCGGGCAGCGTGCCCAGGACCTGCAGGACTGCCGTTGCAGACTCGAGCCTGGAACGTCTGGAAGGAGCACAGAGGCCCTCCCAGGAGGGCAGGGAAAAAGAGCAAGTAGCTCAGGTAGGTCAGGGCCTCACCCAGATTCCCAGACCAAGAGGACCTGCTCCGGGGGCCTGCTGTCGCCACTTTCCCCTCACAGATGTCCAAGGAGAGGGACGTGACCCTCTGGGTCAGGAGCATGAGCGCGGACAGGGCGGTGCAGAACCTGGAACAGAGGCCTCGTAAAAGCCACTCCACTGTGCCCTTCCCCATGCCAGCCTGGCACGTGCCCACAGCCAGTGGGGGCCTCAGGGTTAAGGTCAGCCCGGACTAACTGCACCTCGCGCTCCACCGGCAGAGGTCAAGCGGGCCGCGGCCATTAGACACGCAGACCAAAGGACTGGGAAACCGAGCATGGACTGGGCCTGCTTCTGGAGCGGCTCTGCAGGTGGGAGCGGGACTGGGAGAGGCAATGTGTAGCCAGAGGCAGCTGAGAGTTGCAGATCCCGCCCTGCTGCCAGATGCGGCCCGGCCTGGAACTGTGCCAAGGGGCAAGAAGAGTGCCCGGACGTGAACGTGAGGGTGCACGTGACCATGGCCTGGACATAATGACCCGCCATCACACAGCCCACTGGTGCAAGGCGAGGGGAGAAATGGCGACTGCCACACCGCACTCTGCAGCCAGGACGCGGGTGCAGGGGAGAACAGCGCTGCCCGTCCGTGGTCTGTGTCAGCAGCCCCTGCCAAGGACCCTTCTGTTATGGGCAGAACTGTGTCCCCAAGTTCCTGTAAGACCCAGCCCCAGCACCCCAGAGAATGGCTGCACTTGGAGACGAGGGCTTCGGGGTGATTAAATGAGGTCACCAGGGTGTACCTTGGCCTGCCATCCCTGGTGTCCCTGTAAGAGGAGGTGAGGACACAGGAACAGAGAGGACCAGGCGGGGCACAGGGAGAAGGCGCCATCCCCAAGCAAGAAGTGAGACCGTGACCCCGGACGACACCGTGATCCTCTCTCAGCCTCCAAAGCCCGCCACTTTTCCTGGGGCACCTCCTGGGCGGCCTCGCAGACTGACACAGTTCCCTGACCCAGTCCAGGCCTGGCTTCCTCCCGAAATCCGGTTCGCCACGTCCCAGCCATTACTGTCTCTGCCGTGCCCACTCCACCTTGCCTTGTCTGCAGAGGCGTGAGCCTGAGGCCTTGACTAGTCGGGAAGGGAAGGAAAGCTAGGTGGCAGCTCAGCGGCAATGCACCCGTCTCACACAGCAAGTCCCTGGTTCACCCCCGGGGCCCTCCTGTACGCCTCGGAGAACGGGCAGGTGCCCAGCCCTAGGCCGGCCAGGTGGGGGCGGGTCGTGGTGTGACGACCCTGTAGGAAGCACCCATCTCTCTCTGCCCTCTCCTCAGAGGAAATAGAAAAATAACTTTATACTAAGAAGAACAGATTCTGGGTGTAGGAGCGAGGGCCGAGTGCGTCAGCCACGCAGGCTGCAGCCAGACAGGTGGCCGCCCACAGCACGGACGCACCCGTTCTGGAGGACGAGGGCTCACTCCGAGTGCCATGGCCAGAAGGAGCCCGGGACCTGGGCCGAGATGGCGCAGCTGCCCACCCCGCCTCGGCGACCTCAGGGCCCGTGTCCTTCCCAGACCACTGTCAGCTCTTGATTTCTCTTCCTACCCTGGGTGACCCCTGCCTCCAGCCCGCAGGCAAGGGGGGCCCAGCCGAGTGGTGGCCTGAGCCTCTGCCGAGGTGAGCGTCCTTGCCTGGCGACCTCTGTGCCCACCTCACCCTCCCTGCAGGCACAAGCGGGCAGCGGAGTGCCAGCATGGGGCTCGCCAGGCCCTCTGCCCGTCAGCCAGACGGGTGTTCCAGCCCCGTGTGTCCCCAGAAAAATAGATCTGAGCGAGACCAGGCGACGTGACAGGAGTCCTGCTGCTCAAATGTGCGAGTCTGGATTCGGACCCGACACCAGCCCTGGGTGCGAGCACACCGCGGGCTGCCCGGTGCCGGAAACGAGAGCTGTTACCTTGTGGGAGGGGCCACAGCAGCCCTCACTGCCTCCCGGACAGAGGCCCCCATGAGGCCCCTGCGTTACTCCGTGGAAGGGACACCCCCCACACATGGCTCTGAGGTACCTTGTGGAGTCCCCCCGTGGCCCCGTTACCTGGCAGAAGCTCCCCCCACCCCGTGGTCAGGTTACCTGGCAGAAGCTCCCCGCCTTTTTTTGGCGGCTGCTGCAGGTAGTGCTCTGTGTAGTGCAGGCCGAGGTGGCACAGGCTCTGCCAGCCCATCTGGAAGAGGAAGACCCACCTGTGCACGTCCTGTGCACTGAGTGACAAGATGAGGACCACAGCACACACGGCAGGGATGAAGACGAGCACGGCATGGCACCCCATGGCGGCCCAGGCCAGCATGCCTCCCCCAGCCAGGAGAAACAGGTGCCTGGAAGGGAGAAGACCCTGGCAAGGCCCACGGAGGACAGGGAGCACGCGTGTCAGGCAGAGTCGCTGGAACCTGTCCTGTCAGCCCACAGAGGCCACGCCATGCTCCTCGGCCTTTTATTCTGGAGATGTGGGAGGAGGGTAGGGAGCCACGTCCTACCCAGGAGACCAGGCCCGGGCCATCTTCGCTGTCACTGCTGTGACCCTCTTCATGCCCAAGGCTTCGGCCCACCTGCCCTAACAGCCACAGCTACAGGCCGGCCACAGTGTGCAGTGCCACAGTGCTCACTTCTTTTTTTCTGAGAGGTTTTCACTATAGGGCGCGTGCGCTCGCCAGATAGACAGAGACAGACAGAGAGACAGAAAGCGAGAAATCACCCCCCAGGGAGGATGGCCATGCCGCAACCCCTTCTCCTCCGTTCTCCTTTCGGGATCTTGGGCGCGTACACACACGCACCTGCGCCCGGTGTGAGTTTAAGCCACCAGGTCTGGGACTCGAACCATGGTCGACTACGTGGGAGTCCAGCGACATAGCCATTACGCCAACTGCTGGTCGCTGAATAAACAAACTCTTAAATCAGATTTAGGGGCTAACTGATGACACGGTGGTTAAGGCAGCTGGATCCCACATGGCTGATTGTACAGTTCAAGTCATGGACCCAGCAGCCTGAAAAACACACCAAGTTGTGTGCGGTGCGTGTGAACTCAAAATCCCTGGAGGAGAATGGAGGAGAGGCTGTGGCACGGCCATTCCCTCGGGGTGGTTTCTCACTTTTTCGCTTTCTGGTGAGCACACACACCCTATTTCCAAAACTAAAAAGCAAAAGAAAATGACAACCAATAACCTCTTGGTACACTGGGGAGGTGATGAGAAGAGTGCAGCCTTCATCTGGAGACTGGCACGCCAAGGACAAGCGGCTCCCTCTGACAGTCCAGCTCACTGCTCCCTTCAGTGTGCGGGTGAGGGTGGGAAGGAAAGCCTCCCCTCTACCCTCATTCCTGCCGTTGTGCTTCAGTCTTCAGAGTCTGAGCGAGAACCCCACGTCACTCAGGCGCAGCCACCGCAGCCCTGCCCCGTCCTCACCGATGCCGCGCTCCTGCTGCTTCCAGGGCCTCTCCCCATGAGGCCGAGTCCTGACGTCTGCACTTGCTCCAGACCCTGTGCATGAGCCCAGGAGCAGTAAACACGGGCTGCCCTGCTACTACCAAAAAAGGGTCTGAGCCCAAGTACAGGCAGACACCCTGTAGTCTCGTGCCGTGTTGAGAGCGGCCCATCTGAGCAAACGTGGTGACCTTTGGACGCACGCAGAAAGGGGCTTCTGTGAGCATCATTTGCATGGCTATGAAGGCATGTGCATGTGAAAATGCTCACAGCTCGTTGTAGATACCACAGAGCAGTATCAGGCTAAAGGAAGCCCCATGTGTTTATCAGATTCCACCCCAAAAAGATCAGGGAAATTCAAGGCACCAGTCGTTTTCACTTCTTCAGATGAATTACATCCCAAAGCAAACTGTATTTTGCATTCCATTTCCTCTTCCTCTGTTTTCTGCACCCTTTTTTTGGGAGAGGTTTTTGCTATAGGGTGCATGTGCTCGCAGAGAGACAGAAAGCCAGAAATCACCCGCTAGGGGGGATGGCCACGCCACAGTGCACTCTCCATCCTCCTCTCAGGATCTTGGGCATGCACGCACATGTGCCCAGTGTGAGTTTAAGCCACTGGGTCCAGGTCTTGAACTACGATCGACTACATGGGAGTCCAGCAACATAGCCATTATGCCAACTGCTGGTCCCTGTTCTCTGCTCTTTAAAAGAATAAACCTGAGGGACCAGCAGTTAGCATAATGGCTATGTCGCTGGACTCCCACGTAGTCGACCGCAGTTCGCGTCCCGGACCCGGTGGCTTAAAACTCACGCCAGGCGCGTGTGCGTGCGTGCCCAAGATCCTGAGAGGAGACTGGAGGAGAAGGGATTGCGGCGTGGCCATCCCCCCTGGGGGTGATTTCTCGCTTTCTGTCTCTATGTCTCTCTCTGTCTGTCTGGCGAGCGCACGCGCCCTATAGCAAAAACCTCTCCAAAAAAAATATAAACCTGAGGCTGGTTCAAGGTCACAGCTTTCTCTAGCAGACATTGGGCCCACCCGATCCTTGCTTCTCTGTACTCGTATGTCTCTGTGTGTTTATTTTTTGTTTCTTTCTAACCCACAGCCCCCCCACTCAGAATCCGTGTTTTGTCGAACGGGTCTTGTCCATCTCGTGCCCTGGACTAGTCCTCCCGATTCCCTTCCTACTGCTGTTGCCTCCCGTGGGGAAAGAGCGCTGACTGTGGGCCCACGGAAGCAGTGGGTGGGCATGGGTGGGCTGTGAGCTTCCTGGCTTGGTGGTCCTGTGTCCACCCTCAGGCAGCCAGGGAGGAGGGGACACCCATGTCCTTCATGTCATGAACACCACATTGAGAAATTTTGTCCGGACCGTGCTCCCCAGAAGCCGCACAGGCGAGGGTGTGCAAAGGCACGGCTCGCGTCAGGCAGACGTGGGCCTTTCTGCGGGCTGTCGCAGCGTGCCGTTTCATTTCACTGATAAAAAATAACCAAAGCTACAGTTCAAATCCCAGCTCCAGCAGGAAAAGCACAGCAGGCATGTGTGACAAAGCCCTGCCGTGAGACGAGAGGCCTGTTTCCAGACAGCCCAGAGTCAGCACACTGTCAGAGGATGGGTGCATGGCATGGCTCGGTGGCATGGCGCTGGGAACCTGATGGTGAGACTTCAGTCGCTGGGGAGATGGTGTGAGAGGCTTCCTCACACACAGCCCCAGGCCTTGTGGTCTCTGGGAACCTTGCCTCGGGAACTCCTGCAGCCACCCCCTGAGCGCCAGGTCCCAGCCTTCACTCACTGAGGGACAGTAAGGGGGACAGAAGTGGCCACCCAAGCAGCCTTCCTGCCCAGAGGCAGTTGCCCCTGGGGATCAGAGGCAGCAGACACCAGTGCAGGTGCAGAGGGGGCAGCACTGAGCAGGCCCCACGGTGCCCGAGCAGGTGTGGTCTGGGCACCGTGCAGTGCGCCTGGACAAGAGCTGCACTGGTTCCTGAAAATAATGCCACGAGACAGCAGGGGAGGAGAGGGGACTCCACACACCCGCACGGAGGACTTAGGGTGCAGCAGGCGGGATCCAAGTGGGCTGCTTTGCTGCCTCCACTCCGCTCCTGCCCCGGGCATTGGCCATTTGCTTTGTTTCATGGTTCTTTCTTTCCTTGTTTTTGTTTTTTTTTTAAGTTTCGTGAGCTCACCAGAGAGAGACACGGAGAGGAAGCGGGAAACTCCCCCCCCACCCGCCTTGGGAGATGGCCACACTGCAATCCCTTCTCCATGTTCTCCTCTTGGGATTTTGGGTGCACATACATACATGCCTGGCACGATTTTCAAACCACCAGGCCTGAGACTCGAACCACAGTCAGCCATGTGGGAGTCCAAGCACCCTAACCACCACACCACCAGCTGAACAAAGTTTTTTCAAACATTTTTTTTTTTTTTTGAGAGGCTTTTGCTGTAGGGGGGGTTGACTCACCCGAAAGACAGAGAGACGGAAAGCGAGAAATCACCCCCTGCGGGGATGGCCAAGCTGCAGTCCCTTCTCCTCCCTTCTCCTCTTGGGATCTTAGGCACGCACGCACACGCGCCCGGCGTGAGTTTAAGCCACTGGGTCTGAGATTCGAACTGCAGTCAACTACATGGGAGTCTAGTGCCATAGCCATTACACTAACTGCTGGTCCCAAGGTTTTTTCAAACTTTATGCACTTCTTCCATGAGAAAGGCGAAGAGAAAAGCATGCCCAAACAGGGTCTGGGCATGACCCGCCCATCTCGGCCAGCCAGGGGCAGCACGTGTTGGGCCAGTGTGTAAAGGGAGGTCCTGGGACCACACCCACAGCCTGTGTCATGCTGTAAGGTCACAGCTGCCCCTACCTGGCCCGAGCCCCAGCTGTGAGCCCCCCTCTGCCCTGCTCTGCGGCACTCGCTCCTCACCGACAGTCCCAGCATTGGGGCGGGTCAGCCCTGGGGAGACCATGCTCGGCAGCCCTGTGCCACCGTGTGCTCGCCCTGCAGCGTTCCTGGACCTGGGAGCAACAGCAGCTCACGCAGCCGCGCAGCCTACCTGGCATGAGTGGAAAACGCATCCAAGGTGCAGAGGGAGCGGAACAGAAGAGCGAAGGGAAGAGCTGCTGCCTGGCACAGAGTGAGGGGGTAGAGGGGGAGCAGCTGGTGCCAGCCCATGGCGGCAGAAAGGGCCCCGTCGTTCCCAGGCCCCGAGCTGGCGCCTGCAGGCAGGAGAAAGCACTGGGCTCTGGGCCCTGTACCCGTTGGGCAGCCCGGCTGCGTAGACCCTGGACATCAGCAGTCACAGCTGGCTGCAGCACCATGGGAACAGGGTGCCCTGCGGCCCAGGTTGCTGGGCGACATCGGCACATGCTAGAAGGCTACCTGGCCGTTTGCTCCCCACGGCGCACCGTGCCTGCCCTCGCCCCTCTGCATGTCTCCTTCACTAGGCTCCTGGCATGTCTCTTTCCAGGGACAGGGCCACTCCCGGGGCTGGGGAGGGCAGGAGGGCAATGGCAGGAGGCAGGGAGGCTGGGCCTCAAGGCAAGCCGGGATTCCCTCCTGAGCCCCTCTCCCCATCGGGGGACTTTATTTTTCATACCAGTGATGCAGGACATTGGGGGCACACAGGCCCAGTGCCCACACTGGATTCAGGGCCACAGGAGGGCCAGGTTCTTGTCTCCCAGCTGAGTTTATTGAGAAAACAAGGTTCCAAGTAGGAAGGGGCCCTGCATGGGTTGCCAACTGGGGACTGTCATCAGGGCTTTGGTCTAGCAGTGGAGCAAGGGCTGGCTTTTTCTTTTCTTTTTCTTTCTTTTTTTTAAGAATTATTTATTTCCATTAGTTACTGTTATTATTTTTTCTTTATTTGACGGGAGAGAGAGAAAGCAAGCCACCAGGTCCAGGACTTGAACCATGGTTGGCCATGTAGGAATCCAGCACCCTTATTCACCACACCACCTGCTGCCCCCCCCCCTTTTTAAAAGAATTATTATTATTTTTTTTGGAGAG